GGGGGGGGGGTGACCGCGATGTTACACTTTTCCGGACTTGATAATATTACCTACATAGATACTAGATAGTGATATTATAAAACACGATATTATTATTTCTGACGCCGCCAGAGCTGTTATCGATCAACAATACATTAAAATATATACCTACGCCGCCGCACGCAGAGTACTTACAACTTACATTGTATACAATATACATAGTACGTAGATATTTTATACACAAATATATGTATATACTTATGTACTTTTTTTCAACCCCACACATTTTACCACCGTGGCACGCCACTGATATAAATATATATGAAACGTTATCAATAACGAAGTTTCACCGATGAAACCGCCCATTATTGTACAGCGTGTAACTCCGGTCTAGATACGTATACCTACATAATAATATATAATATTATTGTCGTTTCCCCGGAGATACTCGGCGCGCCTCGTCACAGTGGTGGTGGACGCGCGCTGAAAATTTACTGAATAATAAAAATAATACAATATGTATATAACGTAAGCGTCATGTATATTTTTTACATTATCACACGTAGGAACGCGCACACAGACGAGGGTTTTTTCACCGAATTTCCCCGTTAGCATTTCATTCTCGTATATACCTATTTAAATAATAATATCATAATATTGTTTTTTGCCTCGACGTCGGATCTCACATCGCGAATGTAAATTATTATGTGGATAATAATATATGCGATATGTGTGATGACAAACCCGTCGACTTCTTTTTCAACGATGACACGATAATCCCGTGACTGTTTCACTCCCCCCACCCCCCACGTCTAAATAATTCAGTCCACAAATCCTTACAGTTCATTATACAAGATATACATTTGATACACAAACGACTAACGAGCACCTATCTAAAATATAACATTACTCAATACTTGCAATATTACGACCGATATTCCTCGGTAATTTAATTTTTATTAAATTTATTCWATGGAGTACTTAATTCTTTGTTTGCTTGTTTCTTTTTTCTTGATGGCATCATGTTTTACAACTCTCAGTAACACGGTAAACGAATTTATAAAATGCAAATATTTGACTTAAATTTTAATAATATCTTTGACACGAAAGTATTCGAAATACCGCCTACTTTATTAATAAAATATATTTTTACCAATTTAAATTTTATAAATGTGTGTTAAACYTATGTATAACCTAYAATAGACAACRCAGTGGTAAAAATAATAATAAGGTTTGAAAAGGTTGAAAATATTTTTTATTAATGTGCACGAGGACCTCTAATTTTTACTGTATTTTTTAATGACAAAAAAAATATTTTTATAAATATTATAATGTAAATTGCTATTTGTGTTTGCTGCAATAAATTACTGAAATTTTATTAAATATAGGTTAAAGGTATCACGCAATAAAATAAGTTAATAATATGTTATTGCAAAAAAAAAAAAAAAAAAAACACAATATGAATTATTTTAGTCAGATTTAAAATGTAATATAATATACATCGTTCAAAAGACACTATATTATAATCACTCCTTCTTGCATAGGTAGTGAAATAATAATAAGTTAACTCATAGGAGAGACCATGTCTGAATAAAAAAAAATAATCACAATAATAGTGATAATGGCRTAAAAGCTCTATAAGAGTTGAAAACTCTACACTAATATGTAAAGTATAATAACAAAATTTTTTTATTTTTTGCTCTTGCGACTATTATAATCAGAACATTTTTTTTTTAATTTTCTTAAAACAAAAACCTATTTCAACGTGACATCAAATACTTAAAATACTTTTAATATAATTATTATTTTTTAAATACACAAAAGTTACGGRCATTATATAGATATAATATTACATTATATAAAATCGATGCATAATGCCTATTGCCTAAACAATTGATAATACAACACTACCTACACTATCAATATATTTTTTATTAATATTGACCCAAACACACCTACATAAATACGACGAGAAATAAAATAAAATAAAGAAAGCTAAAAATAGCAAATTAAATAATAATTACAACGTACAAACTTCACACAATTAATACGATCGAAATAATGTGAGCTGAAAAAACTCTCTTGTCAACAAAATAATTATGCAGTCCAACAACACCAATCGGACAAAGTGGCCGCGACACGTTACTCATGATCCACGTCCGAAGAACACAACCCGAGGTCGTCCTGTTACCATTTGTCTTCCTTTCTTCTATCCCGCTAGATTCACTCGCTTAATTCGCGTCGTGTTTATGAAACTTTCGGTTGCCTTTAATTTATCTGAATAAACTTTTGTTCATTTGTTGTTTTACTCTGCGCTTGACCCAAAGACAATATAATTAGGAGACGCTATTGCGCTGTGTTTCGTCTCACCGCCTATATATATAACGATTTATAACTACATAACATTTATCAAAGTCTATCAGAACTTTGGTTTCACGCGCGGGTGGCTAGATTTGAATTTAAATGATATTGACACTTTATTTTTTTTACTCCCACAGAATTTTGATTGCCGAAACCACATCCGAGTCATCCAGTCGATCGGTGACGGTAGCCGAATATACATTTGCGGCACAAACGCGCACAATCCAAAGGATTACGTGATCTACGTGAGTATATTATAGTATACCAATAATCTGTACTGTAATTTATTACACTTGATCACACTCTGATTTGTTATTTGTATTTTTGTCATTTTTCAGTCCAATCTGACACATCTTCCCAGACACGAGTACGTGCCCGGCGTGGGTCTGGGCACGGCCAAATGTCCGTACGACCCGCTAGACAACTCGACGGCCATTTGGTCAGAAAAGGGCAATCCGGGACAATTGCCGGCTCTGTACAGTGGCACAAACGCCGAGTTCACTAAAGCGGACACAGTTATTTTCCGGACGGACCTGTACAACTTGACCTCGGGACGTAAGGAGTTCGCGTTCAAGAGGACGCTCAAATACGACTCCAACTGGCTAGACAGTGAGTGTTTATCGGTGTAATATCAACGCATTCCGACTATATAATATTATTCGCGATAAATTGCGTCGTACAATCTGATATTTCTATAATATTAACAATGTCAAGAATATACAATGGCACCCGATTAATGTGTTCGCTGCCGAGACTTGCACAGACTTTCACGTTTATGTATATTATTATATTGGACTCTGACCGCACGACGYAATATAATATTCGTACCGTCGTATAATATTGTATAACATTATGATAATAATAATAATATATCTACTGCGTTTACGTCGATCGCTTTTATACTGCACCTACGCCCGTTATTATATATCGTGTTTATGCGTATAATATACATAGACATAATATTATATACTACATCTGTACGCGAGTTGGCCGACGCTATTACGGTGCGCGATGGGGCGGTTTGGTTTTTTTCTTATATACATATATATTATTATTATTATTATTATTATTATTATGATATGTAAATGACTGCCACGCGCGTATATACTTACGGTGGTGCCCCGCTGCCGTTGCGGTCGTGTACCGAGGCTTATGAYGGAGAGGAGGACGTAGACTATTTCGAAACGCAAACACGTATACCGGCTGGGGATAAAACGCCCGCAGTGACTTTKCCGGGGATTCGGGAGGGCGAAGAAGTTTGATTCGGCAATAGGTATGGGACTGCGGAAAGAGAGAGGAACTACTCTGAAACGGAGAAAAAGTCGAAAACGTCTCAAGAACCCCAACAACCGACGGACCACGTCTGGTGCATTTATATATATATATATATGTATATGTATATATGTGTGTGTGTGTGTGTGTTTTGTGTACTC